ATTTAAAAGGCAGACTCATTTTGTAACACGATGAAAGATGTCTATCGTGCATCAACACTTAACATCGGGCTGCAGGCGCAGCGCTCAGGGCTGACCCTGGGAACTGGGGGCGAGATGAAAATGGCCACTGTTCTTCCCACTCCCGAGGCAGAAAGGAGGAGCTACAGTGCCACCAACTCTACACGGGCATTGAGTGTGTCACCCACTCAGCAGTCACCAGGGCTCAGAGTGGACACCAGCATCTCCTACGTCCTCATCCGATCAACACCGAACAGTGGTCCTGGTGCCCGAGGAGTCTGCAAGGCATGGGCAATGCTGCGAGCTGTCAGAGGAGGGCGTGGGTGCGCCCAAGCATGTGTGAGAGGCAGAGGGCATGGGTGCACCCATGGGTGTGTGGTCACAGAGAAGGGCATGGGTGCACACATGTGTGTGTGGTCACAGAGAAGGGCATGGGTGCACCCAAGGGTGTGTGGGCGGCAGAGGGCATGGGTGCGCCCATGCATGTGTGGTCACAGAGAAGGGCGTGGGTGCGCCCACGTATGTGTGGTCAGAGGAGGCAGTGGGTGCATGCATGCGTGTGTGGCTGATGGAGGGCGTGGGTACATACATGTGAGTGAAGGCACGTGGTGTGAGGGCGGGGCAGGAAGTGCATGTGGGGGATGCCAACACCCATCAGCCTTCTGGGCTATCGTTCAGTACTCCCTGCAGTGCTGGCGAGTTGGTTTGATTTGAAACGTTAATGTATTTTGGAAGAGAAAAAGAATTTTTAAAAGCGAGTCATCTCTCATTCTCTTTCTTCATCACAGGGCCAGCAGAGTGGGCTTTCTGGCGTGGTCTGGAGGCAGAACGCTCTATAAATACCAAGCCATTAAATCCCATGCAGTGGGAACCTGATCGGGGCCTCCTTTTAATTTCCTGACATGAGCTGGCCACTAACCCAATTACCCAGAATCCCCGGAGGAGCCCCTGGCCTCGCCAACAAGCACAAAGAGACAGTGGAGCTGCTCGGCCGGCGGCCCGCGTTCGCTGAAATCAAATCTCTTTTAGAAAACACTTAGGGAAAGGCAGGCGGGGCTGAGTGTGGAGGGCAGGAAATGCAGCGGGCCAGGGAGGCTGGGGCGGCGAGGGAGGTGACGTGAAGTCTGCAGGGACAAGCTGCGGAAGGCAGCGGCCGGACCCCCGGAAGGCAGCGGGGAGCCCCGGAAGGCAGCGGCTGGTTCCGCAGGGTTCCTCTGGATCAGAGGCTCAGTCCGTCCCACTCTATCTGCCACAGGAACCCCTGGTCTGGGCTCCAGAACCCAGAGAAAGGACTGGCCTGAGACAGTGCCACCCCCTAAGATCCCCACCATGAAACCCAGCAAGGAAACCCAGGGCTGCTGGGGCCCGGACGCGGCAGGCAGACTGATGGAAAGTCAGGTGGAACCAAGCCTACCTCTGAATCCAACCCTGACATCACCAGACTGATGGAAAGTCAGGTGGAACCAAGCCTACCTCTGAATCCAACCCTGACATCACCAAGAGGTGCCACAGTGGCACTGTCCCGGGGGGTTGCCACCTTGACCTGCTGCGGGAGACCAGGTGCCGACATCCCTGTTCTGCAGCTGAGCAAACAGAGGCACACGGGTGTGAGTGCACGCAGGCTGCGCAAGCGGTAGAACGCAGGCCCCCAACTCCTGACCCAGCTCAGGCTTTGTGCAGAAAGAGGGTAATTCCTTCTTCCGGCTTCCCCACCTCCAGTTCTCTTTATTTTTATTTTTATTTATTTATTTTTGACAGGCACAGTGGACAGTGAGAGAGAGAGAGAGAGAGAGAGAGAAAGGTCTTCCTTTGCCGTTGGTTCACCCTCCAAAGGCTGCCGCAGCCGGCGCACCGCGCTGATCCGATGGCAGGAGCCAGGTGCTTCTCCTGGTCTCCCATGGGGTGCAGGGCCCAAGCACTTGGGCCATCCTCCACTGCACTCCCTGGCCACAGCAGAGAGCTGGCCTGGAAGAGGGGCAACGGGGACAGAATCCGGTGCCCGACCGGGACTAGAACCCGGTGTGCCCGCGCCGCAAGGCGGAGGATTAGCCTAGTGAGCCGAGGCGCCGGCCCCCACCTCCAGTTTTTGACCCAGCTTCCTGCCAGTGCAGACCTAATGGTGACGGCTCAAGTATGTGGGTCCCTGCTGCCCACGTGAGACACTCAGATGACGTTCCTGGCTCCTAGCTTTGGCCTCAGCCTCAGCCCAGCCCTGGCTATTGTGGGCATGTGGGGACGGAACCAGCAGATCAGGGATCCGTTGCCTTCTCTCTGTCTCCCCCTCCTTCTCTCCACCCCATCCTCCTCACTCCCCCACCTTCCTGATTAATTATTTTTAAAAGGTGAGCTAGGCCGGCGCCGCGGCTCAGTAGGCTAATCCTCCACCTAGCGGCGCCAGCACACCGGGTTCTAGTCCCGGTCGGGGCGCCGGATTCTGTCCCGGTTGCCCCTCTTCCAGGCCAGCCCTCTGCTGTGGCCAGGGAGTGCAGTGGAGGATGGCCCAGGTGCTTGGGCCCTGCACCCCATGGGGAGACCAGGAAAAGCACCTGGCTCC